CATAAAAAATATATTAATAATTTATTATGTAAAATCGAATTTTATTTAAACAAGAAAAAACGTTAACTTCGGCTGCACCGAAGATAATACACCCTTCACAGGTGCATTTATTTTTAGTAACTATATGTTCAGTTTATATCGAAACAATATGCTATAGTAATCCGATCTGATTACCCGAATTTTTTCGGAGATTACATTGATGCCTTAGGAAATAATCTATAAAAAATTTTGTGAATATATCATGTCAAATGCAAAAGTTTTCCATACAAGAACTTGATTCCGATCGTTCAGTTTGTAAGGCAGCTATATGTTATAGTGGTCCGATATCGGCAGTTCCGACAAATGAGCAGCTTCTTGAAGAAAAATCACGTTTGCAAAAATTTCAAAATGATATCTTAAAAACTGAGGGACTAGATCGTATATATACAGACAGGCGGACAGACAGACCGACGGACATGGCTAAATCGACTCAGCTCAGCATACTGATCATTTATATACTATTATATATATACTTTATAGGGTCTCCGACGCTTGGTTCCGGGTGTTACAAACTTCGTGACAAACTTAATATACCTTGTTCAGGGTATAAAAAATAGTTGAACAAATGAAAATAAAGAAATTAATTCATAGCAAAATATAAAGAATAAAAGAAATAATACTAAATAATTTCATGAATAAACAAATAATTCAAAATTTATGTTTGTGATAAATAATATTTATTGTCGCATAAGAAGCACTAAGAGGATTCAAAACTGTTATTCTAAAGACCAAAATTTTTTTTTTGAAAATACATTGCAGTTTTTGGAAATTAATTGATTAGAATGACAAAAATATGTGAAAAAAGTAAAAACAGCGATTGCGATACCCGAGTAATGATGGATTAACAAACGTCGATTTAAAAAATATATCAGGTTTAAAACAGTCAACTTGCCCCCCAACCTCTTAACTTTGCGAGAATTTTGAGAACGGCAGTCACAAAGAAATAAAAAAATTATAGATAGATTAAATGTGTTTAATGTCTGTAATCATAGCAAATTCATAAAAATTGTATAAAATCACTCAGTGTAACGTTAAGACATTAGTTTAGTTTATTTATAACATTATTAATTATTATCTCTTCGAGCCTTGTCATCTACCTACCCGAATAAATACGCGTATTATTGTTTTTATTTACTCAGTTAAATTTAGTAAATTGCTAATTTTAAATTCTCGACGCGCAAATTATTTTGTAATCAAGCTGACAATAAATTAAAAAAAAAACAAAAGAAACGCAGACGAAATTTCTTATCGAAAGCTTTTTTCACGAGATGATTCATGGATAACAATTTACTAAATTTAAAATCGATGATAAAAAAATTAAATTTTAATTAAAAAATTAAATTAAATAAGAATAAAATGCAATTCAAATATATTAAAACAGAACGACAAAAAAAAATTATAACCAGGCTGAAGAAACATAAATTGTAGACGAAATCAACTATCGAAAGTTTCCAGAGGTTGTTTCATTGAGCACAACGTAGTAAATTAAAAATCGATAATAAAAGTTTTCAAAACAAAAGAATCGAAAATTAAAAAAAAAATATATTTTTTAACAAAAGGATTTTAAAGCACAGGATTATAACTTACAATGAGCAGAACTAAAAGTGTATAATTAAAAAATTGATTTTTCTTAAAAATGAGCACAACTAAAAATGAATAAATAAAAAAATTTAAAGCAAATCAATTCTTGTTACAAGCCACTTTTAAATTAGTAGAACAATTTATTTGTTTTTCTGATTCTTATTCACATCATTTCAAACCATTTGTATTATTATTAAAAATGACAGCAGCTATATAAAATTAAATTAAAGTAATTTTTCATTATGTAATA